AAGTATAAAGCTTGCAAGTGCGCTAGGTTTAAATGGATCTTGATATCTTGCTTCACTTATACATTGTAGGTATACATCTCGTGCTTTCACTCCTGTATATAAAGAAAGTGGTACCACAGTGAATTTTGATAAAAGAAAGCTCAAGAGCAATCTTGCTACTCTTCCGTTTCCATTCATAAAAGGGTGAATCGTCAAAAAATGTACGAGAAAACATGCCCCATATTTAATGGCATCCTCTAACCGCAAGTCTGTATTCTCAAATTTTTCTCTACATTGACGAAATAATGTATCCATTTTATCTCTTATCAAATCCGGTGCCATGTATACATAGTTTTCTTGTGCTGCCATAACAAATTTCGTTCGATATTGCCCAGCATCTTTGATTAATCCGTTTCCAATTTTTCGATGCAATTGCTTTGCAAACTCTGGTGTAAAACGATCTATTTGAAGATCTGGAAAAAATATAGAAGGGAAAGTGTCAATGATAACACCATGGAGATTTTGTACTTTTCTAGCCAACCGTTGTTCATCGGGTTTAATGTAACTTGTAAAAATCTTTCCGCAAAACATTCTTAAAGACCCAGATTTCCTGAGCAGTTTTTGTACATAACTAATAGTTATTGTAATATTGCTTTCCACAGAAATACATTCGAGTAGATAACGTTCACGATGAAGATCGATGTATCCCTTCCAAAAGAGTTCCTCACTTTCATTATCAACTGCTGATGCTATAGCCCGTTGAAAGTGCTTGATCTTTGAGATTAAATATTCCGCATTATGTTCATCAAAAGGATGTTTCCACCAAGGTTTGTCTAAAATGTCAAAGTCGGAATATATCATCGATGCCTAATATGATACCTCCCGTTAGTTTATGGTATCATTAAATCAGTAAAGGATTTAAGGATAGAGATATATACCACAATTTTATTTTGCTTATTGCACTCAACTTTTGAACTAAAGGCACCTTGACTGCTTCCTTCTTCTTTTTGTTCGGGATTTTCCATTCGATAAGAAAGTAAGTAGCTGATCTTTTGAGGTTGACTAAATCTATCGTTTATTCGATTGTTTTGATTTTCACGTTACACTAGATCTGAGCGATAATATTTTGTTGCGGTATCATTTGTTAATCGATTCTATGCTAATTCACATATATGACAATTCAAGAAATTTTTGTCCGCTTTCAATATTTGTCATTAGTAATATCACAAAGAATTCCTTGAAATTTGTTATATTAAGAAAAAAAGTTTGAAATATTCGCACAGCTATTCTAATCTAATAACTAATGATGCCAAATAATTCTATTATTTCTGTTAATTTTATGATTGACAACTATATATTATTGCATGTAGCCATCATTTTCATTTCTTGTATTTTGTTTTATTTGGATCATCTCCAAAATCTTCAAGAGAAAATACGAGAAATATAGCACTTGGAATTTATTTAATTCACTTTCCGTGCTTATTTTAATAATTTTATTAAATAACGACAGCTGTCGTGCCATCTCTTTTAAAGATATTACCTGGTTTTTATCAGGTTTGGTAAATAATTTATAATGAATCGAAGATTGTTACGAACATAAAAAATATGTATTATTTGAATTAACATCAAGAAACTAACTTACATTACCGGTTTTTGAATCTTTTATAGTTTTAAAAATTCAAAACCATCTGCGTATTTTTTTATTTTTCACGAAAATACACATCGATATTGATTATTAAAATTTATCATTAAAAAAAAAATCTTATATCATAATTAAATTTACACAATAGATTTTCTATTCACGTGTTTGCAGGAAAATTCGGGGTGTCGTTGGGGTACTTTTAATATTAAGCGTTTTACCGATAAAAATGACAACGATCTGTGTATTCACAACGTAAAAAAATTG